TGGATGTTCAGAAAGGAACATTCTCCCTAAGACTGAATGCTTCAGAGAAATAAAGGCAGCACCCTCTTACCCAGTTGTCTATAGGACTAGCACTTTGTGTCTTTTCAGTCTTACTCTCATCATATTGTTACCTCATCATTTCTTACCTCCCCTGCAGACTGAGTTAGAAGACACAATTCTCATGGTGTCTTGAACATAATAAGTACTCAGTAAATGCTTGCTGAATTGATACCAGTGGAAAGTCCAGAATTCATGCCAAGGAATCTCAGTGGTAAAAGAAAAAAAGTGCTTTATAAACGTTCTATTCTTTCATAGATTTTCCTCAGATTAATAAACTCTTCAGATATAATCAGAAGTTATTTTATTTATTTGTTAATTTTTACCAAAAGAACAAATTTTCCCCTTTTGGCAGATCAAGTAATCTGGCAGAAAATAACAATCAACACAATTAGTATTGCCACCTGATATAGCAACAGCAATATGCCTAAATTGCCTCTGAATTTCAAAAGAGCTTCAGGATGCCAAAAACTTAACATTCAGTCATTCATTCAGTGTACGTTTACTGAGCACATTCTAAGGCATGGCATTGTGCTAGAAATACTGAAAAGATGGATTTATTGACCTCATATAACCCAGAATCTAGGAGGAGACAGACAATTAAATAAGAAATTACCTGCCAAATACCTTATAAGCACTGAGTATGTAAAAGCAGTTAACTCAAGAACAAACTGCCTGCCTCTTTATTGCAATATGTCAAGATTGATCCTTGGGGTTCCAATTCAAATTCAACTAGGGAACATCAGCATTTTTATAATTTTCCACATTTTTAGGTTAGGCAAAAGGGCAGAGTTGGGCATCCTGAATTTCAAGGGCACCTTTAGCAGCATGTGCTGCCTTCCTGGTCCCTAGAGAAATCTTGCAATGGTTCCCTTCACCTAGAAGGAATTGGGGAGTTGTGGGCTACAGGCATCTTGGGGAAGGACACATTGTGGGCCACTGCACTCACATGCAAGTTGGACCAGAAAAGCTTAAAAACTACTCAGATATTTGAGGAGACTCTCCAAAAGTAGCTTTGGATTTTCATGCTTTTATAGTCATATGGTTCATAAAAAATTTTGAATAGTAGCATCTATTTCAGTATGGACCCAAGTGTCTGAGAAAGCCTCAGGGATTCTATATACTGGTGGCTCTTCAAAGGCCTGGAATACAAGCAGGAACTCACTCCAAATTTCAGTTATTGTTGTTTTTTAAGATTTTAGTTACTTATTTGAGAGAGAGAGTGCGCACAAGCAGGGGAGAGGGGCAGAGGGAGAAGCCGACTCCTCACTGAACAGGGAGCCCGATGTGCGGCTCCATCCTAGGACCCCCGGATCATGACCTGAGCCAAAGGCAGACATTTAAATGACTGGGCCACCCAGGCACCCCAAATTTCAGTTTTAACCTGTGTTTTGCATTCAGCTTTATCGATTTAAAGGAGGTGCTTCGGAAAGTGTGTTCTATGCACCCCTAGTCCCAAGGAGTGGTAATTGGTGAGCTTCAGGACATAATTTGGGAACTCATCTTAACAGATAATTGGTGTGTTTAGTGAATAGATTTTTGTTTAGTTTTTGAAATAAGGACCCAGTTTTGAAGTCTAAGGGCTGTATCTGCAACAAATGACTGGTTGCCAAGGATACCATTGTGTGCAAATTACAAAAAAACATATTGAACAGATGGATTCTTGGAGGGAGGAGAATTGATCTGAACGTAAGAGGCAGGTGGAGATAAATATTCTGATTGGAAGAGAAGTCACAGAGTTTACGCGGCTGACATAAAAATACATCCTCATCATTTTAAAGGGCTTCCATCCTTTATCTTCTTCTGCCAGTGGAGACACCATTAGATTTCAGACAGATACCTGGCTGGAGGCCATGTGAAACCTGAGGCTAGCTAATGTAACTATGTCTCATCTCCCAAGCCTGCCATTTACCTCCCCCTGACTTCCAGTCACATTCCCTTCAGCAGTTCTTCCTTCCCTGATTACAGTTGAGCTCTTCCTTGGGTGCCTTTTCCAAATGCTCTCTACAATCTCAATCTGCAATCAGCTACATGTTCTACACTCCAAACTTCCTTTTCAACTTCTCCTCTCCCTCTCACCCAGTTACCTATAGGAATTTCCTAAATTTTCTGAGACTCTGTGGTGAAGTCTATGATTCTTCTACAACCCAAGGAACACAGGTTGATAAACATATTGTTTCCTATTATTCCTATTGCTGCTATAACAAATTACCACAAATCCAGTGGCTTAAAACAACACACATTTATTATCTATAAGTTCTGAAGCTCCGAAGTCCAAAATGAGTCGTAGGGCTAAAATCAAGGTGTTGGCAGGGCTGCTTCCATCTGAAGATTCCCGTGGAGAATCTGCTCTTTTTCCAGCATCTAGAGGCTGCTCATGTTTTTTGGTTTATGGTTGCATCACTGGGAACTCTGCTTCTGTCATCACATATTCTGACTCAAATCCTGATGCCTCCCTCTTATAAGGACCTGTGACATTGGGCGTACCCAGATAATACAGAATAATCTTCTATCTCAGTAATCTCCTTAATTTAATCACATTTAAGTCCCTTTTGTCATGTAAGGTAACATTCTTGCAGGCTCCAAGGATTTGGACATGGATATCTTTCAAGAGTCATTATTCAGCCTGCCACAGTTGAGAAGGGGATAGAATTCTGCATTTATCCTATTCTTTATTGATCTTTCCAGACCATTTCTTTACAATAGTGTCAGCAAACTTTCCATAAAAAGCCAAATGGTAAATATTTTAGACTTCCTGGGTCAAAGCAACATCAAGGATATTATGTAGGTACTTATGTAACTTACCATTTAAAATGTAACTATTTTAAGAGGTAAAAACCATTCTTAACTTGTAGGTGGTACAAAAACAGGTGGTAGGCTGGATTTGGCCGTGAGCGAAGTTTGCAAAATTCTGCTTTTATGATTTTTTATAAAGTACTTCCTTAGAGGCTCATGCTATTCAGCTAAATCACTTCTACTTTATCCTGCCTCTGTCACTTACAGATATCCTGGTCACTCTTCAAATACCCACTCATGAATTGCCCATCTAGAGAAGTATTCAAAAAGGTAGGAATAGCCACTTGAGTCTTGGATATGTGAAAGTCTAATTCTGCAAAATAATAGTAATATCACAAAGAGAAAATACCTTTCTGTTTATATATCTCTCCTTCCCATCAAAAGTTCCTGGTTCAGAAATGCATTCTTCCCATTTGAGTAATTCACTAGGGTATATCCACATATGATACTAAGAACATTTTTTTTCATTCTGAAGACATATATAAGACTTGATGTCATAATACAGTCTAAGGCATCAAATATTCTCCATGAAAAGACCAGAGACTATGGATAAAAACACAAACTGGGGGGAGTACAAAGGACAGATTTTAGTTCATCAACCTGTCTTTGACTATGTGGAGCTGGTTGCACAATTCGGATTCTGAACAGATTCCCAAAGAAGGGGTCTGGCCCCAGGCCCAGAGAAATCTTTCTTCTTAGAGCCTCAGAAGTTCCTTGTGTTCTTCAGATGGGAGCTGGAAGGAAAGGTCATTTTTAATTTCATTGACGCTGCTGGTAGGCCCTGATCTCTGCCTACTGCTGAAAGAAAGAAAACAAATAGGAACGGAGAGCTAGGAAAAGAGACTTTTACATGGCTCTTCCCTCTCTCAGGGACTGTCCAAATGATGTTTTTTTCCTGTAGAAAGGAGATTTTTAAATGCATCTGAGGATCAAGTGGCTCACATCAGTGAGGCCAAGATGATCTTGAAAATAGGAACAATGAAGGATAGATGATATCATGCTTTTGGAGGCACAAGAGGCACACCCCCAGTAGTTAAGCCTAATTTACAAGTTTTTCTTTATTTGGTTCAAGCCTGAGGGACTGGATCATTGGTCATCAATGAGGTTAAAAATAGCCATTGCAATTTCAAGAAGGAATACTCATTCCTTATAAACCTGTAAAAAAATTTTAAGACTCAGGGCTGGATTAAACTTGGAAAATGCCCTGAAAGCCCAACCACTTGGTCACATCTGAGTTAATGTAAAAGAAGATTAGAGAGTCTAAAGTTGAAAGAGACAAGAAAATTATTAACAGTAAGAGGAAAGAATAAATGAAGGCAAATAAAACAGACCTTCATAAACTTAGGAAAAATCATCTTCGTTGCACACAGTTAAGGCTTTGAAGCTCTGTAGAACAGCATACTGCAATTAGCCCTATTTCCCATTCTCTGAGGCTTTGTGTTATTTCATTAATTCAAACGTTATCTAATGAGAAGCTACAGTGATACATGTCCTGCATGCACACTGAGAATATAGAGGTAAGGTATGTGATTGTTCCCTTCTTAAGAGAGCCTTCCAAGCCCTTGTCACACACCGTGGGTTGCTAAAGAAATAGAGACCTAGCAGAGGAAGTCTCCCAACCATCCTTTCAGGCATGGTGACAACTGGTGATGATGCCAATAGACACCAATGGAGATACTCTCAGTAGGAAGTATCAGGAGCGTCTAGACAGACTAAGGAACCCACTGCATGTCAAGAGAAGGGATCCAACAGAAATAGAACTCACTATTCTTGTCTATAAGGCTGGAGGGGGCTGCTTCCTGTTTGTACTCCATTTCTAAATGTGGTTCAGACTTGCTCACTTTCTTCCCTGGACTTCCTCTCTCCATATGGGGCCACCATTATATTTCTTGCCTTGGCAACCACTGCTACATTTTAAGTCTATCATCTGCTGAGCAATTACTCAGCTGTATTGTAACTATAACATGCAACATACAGCAAATGAAAAGTCCTTAGTCACACAGGGGCCGTTTCTTTATTCTCTAGTTTCTCCATTTCTCCCAATTCTCCAGTTATTGATAGGGCCTGGCACAAGACCGTAGCTACCTATGTAAAAGGGCTGCCATTTAAGGTAAATATAACCACAGAGATGGACATGAAACAAAAAATATTTTATGTAATGTTTATTATTTTTTAAATCTCATCCTAATTTTGGCTTTATTCCTCGTCTCCCATTCCCATTCTTTTCTTGGAAATCCAAACTTTAAAAAAAAAAAACAAAATGTTTAAAATCATAATTATCTAGAGTCATAACAAAATTTCTTCTTTCCGAAAGGGGTGAAAACAATTTTTATTCTTATGCAGCATCTTCAGATATGCGTGTTAATATATCTTTTATAAACTATTTAAAATAAAACCCTTCATCCTTTGAGGTTATTGATATTTTCTAGCTCACTGACACATCTCCCATAATACATTAATTCTACCCATTTTTCACGAATGAGGTGGGAACTATACTAAAAAATAGGATTTTAATCCCTGAGGTGCCAGTTAAAATGGACAAGGTTGCCATTGCAACACAAGATCGCCAAAAATCAGCCTTAAATAATAATCATAAATCATGCTAGCCGGATGAGAATCACCTCCGTAGCATGGGGTCGTTTAGAAAATCGCATTTACTGGGTTAAGTTCACCCTGCTATTCCTAGCCCTCATGCCATGATACTCTTCCTTTTGTAAAGGAATAACAACACAGCAAGGAAGTCTGCAGAAACTTCTGAGATCCTCAGAAATCAAGAGAAACCACAGTCCCGTTTCTCTAGTTCTCCCTCCACGTGGTTGGAGAGGGGTTTGCAGCACCATTCCACGACCTGGAAAGGTTGATGAACTGACTTGGGTTTTCTCCTTCTGCATACACTCAGTCGGAAAGGGAAGCTCAGTCCTCCCGGCTGGAAAAGTAGCTCTGCTCCCAGGCCTTCAGCAGAAGCGCGTTCAGCCGACGGACGCCCACCCCCTGCGGAGCCTGGCCGGGGCCCGGCGCCGCTAGTAGTAGCGGTTCAGGCTCCTGGTGCCGGGGCCGTCGGGCTGGCCGTTCATCCAGATCTCCCGGATGATGCGCTCCCGCTCCTCCAGCCGCTGCGCGCGCTCCAGCTCCTCGGCCGAGGTGAACACGTTCTTGTTCAAAGTCCTTTCGAAGCGGCGGTGTCTCCGGACCGAGATGTCGGACGCGGTGTCTGAGCTGCCATCCTCGCTGTCGCTGCCGTCGCTGCTGCTCCCCCGGTCCTGCAGGAACTTCTTGCGGGGACGCCGCCGGCAGTCGGTGCGGCAGGAGAGCCTCGTCACCAGGGCCGCCAGCGTGAGCACCAGCCCGAGGCACACGCCGGAGACGAAGTACAGAGCGGCTCGCTCGGGATTTTCTGCAGGAGGAGGAAGAAGAGGCATTTGAGAGACGACGACTCCACGCGCGGAGAGCAAATAGGGCTCCCGCCCCCCTTGCACCCCCCTCACCCCCCTCAAAGCCCCGATGGTTACAGGCATTGCCTTCCCAAGTGAAAGCTGCACAGTGTATTCAAAACCTCAATGTCAATAAATGGTGAATGTGGGTAGAGGGCTAAATGGGCTTCGTTTCCTATATTCTTGCAACTTTAAATTTGAAATGATTTCCAAATGGAAAAAAATAAAAGAAAGAAAAGTATCATTTAGGCTGTATTATAAGCAAGCAACTATACTTAGATGTCATTTGCTTAAGAGATTGTATGTGTTTAAAGCCCACTTTCACCTATAGGGGAAGATTCTTGGCTTCTGAATTTGCTCCTGCAATGCCTGAATAAACCCTTTAATTGCAGATGTAAGCAGCTTTTTTTTTTCCAACAAATTTATGAATAAAACCAAGGACCAATGCCTCCTTTATTCTAACTATGCCATCATAGGCCTAAGTCAACAAATGTAGTCAGCTTCTAAGCTGTCCCCCACCTCTTAGTCTGCAGACTCTTACACAAGCCCCTCCCTTTGAGGGCAGACCTAGTGGGCTGGACGCGGGAACCCATTTCTAAAAAACAATATGGATGAGTCTAAGATTAAGTTACATAAGACTGACTTCCCACTTGCTTATGCCCTCTCTTTGGCTTTTCTCATTCACTTGCTCTGATGAAGCCAGCTGCCATGTTGTGGCCGGCTCTAAAGAGGGGCCCACATAGCAAGGAAGCCAGAGTAGCTTGTGGCTAGCTGCCTGCAAAGAACTGAATCATGCCAATGGCCATGGGAGTGAGTCCGGACGTGAATCATGCCCTCCTGTTGCGGCCCTGGCCTTGCAGCTAAGCCAATCTCTGATTCCTGACCCTCAGAAATGACAAAATAAAGTGCTGTTTTGAGTCAATAAATTTTGAGGTAATTTGCTCTGCAGCAATTGATAACTTATACAATCAGATGGAAAACCAGTGTAGGTATTTTGTGATGACCTTATCAGATGACTCTGGGGAGAAATGTGAGGTTTTCCTTGGTGAGAAAATAAAGGAATCATTCTGTTGATGTGCAATATGCTTAGTGGTCCCAGTGATGATTCCTGTATGATGTGCTCAACAGGATGAGAGCCTTTAGGTGAACAGCCTTCCCTTTGTGGGTAAGTACCAGATCATAGCGGCACACCTGGACTTGGCTCCCAGGGCATGCTCAACCTGACAGGACTCAAGATGGCCATCAGCAAATTAGTCTTCTATAATCTATATTCACTGGTTAGTATGCATCAGAACACATATTGTTTTGTGGGTTTTTAAAGAATATAAGTGGGATCAAATATAATACATGTCCATTTTTTAAAATTTAAGAATATTTCTTGGAGAGATTTCCAGATATGCCAACAGCATTCTTTTTGACTCTAAATATCAGAGTCTATTTAACCACTCTCTTGTTACTATCACATAAATGGTTTACAATTTTTCACTATTATGAGCAATGCTAACATTGACATGCTTGTATCCTTGTACACATCTCTTTATACACATGTAGAATTATTTCTACAGGTTAGTTATCTAGCAACAGAACAATTGCATCAAAGGGCATGATAATTTTGAAGTTTTATGCATTCTAAATTGTACCCAAGAAAGGTCTATCGGTCTAAACACAGCATATTGAATGCATGTGTTAACGATACCTCCTTCCCTCTGAAACTCCTTCCAAAATGACAGTGATGTGAATGCAACAGATATAAATTTTAGGTACAAAGAGGAGAGGATAGAAGAAATAGAAGACACTAATAGCAGATACAAGAGTAGTCAACAAAGTAAATGTGGTGAAAGGGAAGTGATATCAATACCATAGCCGTGTAAAATATCCCTACTCTTTGTGTCCTTTTTTTAAATAGTTAATTAAGCACCCATCCACAAACAAAAATGTCTCTGTGGGAGTCTTTGATGCAACAACATTGGCCAAGGAACCCAGGAGGAGTCTCGCCCACCCGCCCACTAGATCATCCGGTAATAGACAACAGACTGACTTTGGTTTGGACTGGGGAACTAGCAATCCCAACCACGACCCCTCCCAGCTGTGTTTGGGGAAAATTTTGAAAAGTGTTGACTTGGGCAAATAACCGTGGAAACAGAATTCCAGCACATAGCTGAAGGAAACAAACAAACAAAACAAGTTTCAAGGAACTTTTCCAGCAGTGCCCCTCCCCCCAGTAGACAGCACAGAATTGAACTGTCCTGTGGCACCTCTCTGTGAGGGAAAAGGAGAGCAGTGTGTGAGTGCCTGGCTACCCTAGCTTTGCCTGGATGCTGCATGGGAAACTTATTTCCCTCCAGCAACATCCAGAGTACTAAAGTGGGACCTCCATGACTGAGAGGGAAGATATTGGAAAAGAGGCAAGATAAGAATATTAAACGACATTATAAAGGGACATAGTTCAAGCTGACTGTGCTCAGGATGTCTGGAGAAAGTCTACCTGCAAGTCTCTGGGAGAACCTCAGCCAAGGATCTTACTACCAGCTGGCAGACACTCCTAACACCTCAGGTGCTAAATTCATATCTTCCCTCACTCTAAGGTGGCTCCTTTCTCATGCTCCAATATTGGCAGCAAAAGTAACTTGGGTAAAGTGGAGTGCTATCAGAAAAACAGACCTGGATCTGTAGGCAAGAGAAAACACAAACTTGAGCTGTAGCACCATCTTCTGGAAAACAAAAGAGAGGTTCCTAGCAGCCAGCCAGGTGAGCTGTAAGATCCAGAGAAGACATAAAAGCTTAAGAATTCCGCCACAAGGGATCCCTGGGTGGCGCAGTGGTTTGGCGCCTGCCTTTGGCCCAGGGCGCGATCCTGGAGACCCGGGATCGAGTTCCACGTCGGGCTCCCGGTGCATGGAGCCTGCTTATCCCTCTGCCTGTGTCTCTGCCCCTCTCTCTCTCTCTCTCTCTCTCTCTCTCTCTCTCTGTGTGTGTGTGTGTGACTATCATACATGAATAATAATAATTAAAAAAAAAAAGAATTCCGCCACAAGAGGGAGCAAGAAGTGTGGAGCAGGTGTATAAATACAAGGTCAGAGAGAATCCCAGATAAAACAGGATCAACAAACCATATACCACAACTAAAAACAACTAGTAAAGAGCTGAGATGTCTTTTACTTCAAAGGCAAAGCAGCAACACAAAACTACAAGGAACATGAAGAATCAAGAAGACATGTCATCATCAAAAGATAATAATCCTTCAATAAAGATTTCAAAGACATGAAATCTTCTGCACTAGTGGATAAAAAATTCAAAATAACTGTTTCAGGGCAGCCCTGGTGGCCAACGGTTTAGTGTCACCTTTCATCCCCGGGTGTGATCCTGGAGACCCAGGATCGAATCCCGCATCAGGCTCCCTGCGTGGAGCCTGCTTCTCCCTCTGCTTGTGTCTCTGCCTCTCTCTCTGTGTGTCTCTCATGAATAAATAAATAAAATATTTTTTAAAAAACAAAATAACTGTTTCAAAGAAACAACGGGCTACAAAGAAACACAGGAGACACTTCAATGAAATCAGGAAAAAAATACAGGAACAAAATGAGAAATTTAGCAATGAGAAGAAACCATGAAAAGGAACCAGACAGAAATTCTGGAGCTGAAGAATTCAGTGATTAAAATGAAAAGTGCAATAGAGAGAATCTGCAGCACAGTAGATCAAATGGAAGACAAAATAAGTGACCTAGAAGACAGTGCTTTTCAAAAAACCCAGTCCAAGGCAAACAGAGAAAAAAGAATGACAAAGAGCAAAGAAAGCCTACATGATCTATGGGATTCAGTCAAATGTATAAATACTAGCATAATCAGTGTTCCAGATGGAGAAGAGAGGAGGAAGGGGCCATAAAGTTTGTTTAAAAATAATAGCTGAGGACATCCCAAAACTGAGGAGAGACTTTGACATCCAAGTTCACAAAGCTAATGGATCACCCTATTATCTCATTGCAAAAAGACCTCCAAGCTACATTATAATGAAACTGTCAAAAATAAAAAAAAAAAGAATCCTAAATGTACCTAGAAAAGAAAACTTATAGCAAAGGAACCCCTATTAGTGTATCAGTGGCTTTCTCAGAAACCCCACAGGCCAGGAGAGAGTGGAATGACAGAGTCAAAATATTGAAGAAAAAGTTTCCAACCAAGAATACTCTATATGGCAAAGTTATCCTTCAGACATGAAGAAGAAATAAAGACTTTCTCAGTGAAACAAAAGCTGAAGGAATCCTGCTTTATAAGAAACGCTGAAAGGAGTTCATCAAACTGAAGTGAAAAGATACTTATTAGTGACATGAAAACATCTGAAAGTATACAACACAGTGGTAAACCTAAGTATGCAGTCAGATTTAGAAGACTCTAATTCTGTAATAGAATGGTATGCTAACCTCTAAACTATAGTATAAAGATTAAAGGAAAATATTGCTAAAAATAACTATTATAATCTTTTAATGAACACAATATATAAAAAGAGGTAAATGGTGACATCAAAAGGGTATAAAAGGGTGGAGCTTTTATTTTTTTATTTTTTTAAGATTTTATTTATTTATTCAAGAGAGACAGAGAGAGAGAGAGGCAGAGACACAGGCAGAGGGAGAAACAGGCTCCATACAGGGAGCCCGACATGGGACTCGATCCTGGGTCTCCAGGATCACTCCCTTGGCTGAAGGCAGTGCTAACCCGGGCTGCCCAGGGTGGAGCTTTTATATGCAGTTGAGCAGCTTTCAATATTTTACCAATGAGCATGATGTTAGTTGTGCGTTTGTCATGTATGGCCCTTATTATATTGAGGTATGTTCCTTTTATACCAAATTTATTGAGAGTTTTATCATGAAAGGATGTTGTATTTTGTCAAATGCTTTTTTTGCATCTAAGATGATTAAGGAAACATAGGGAGATGACATCACTAATCTTAAGAGATATCTGCACTCCCTTGTTC